TAAATCGACACGAGACCAAACCTCCAAAATGAGTCCATGGTGCCTAACTTAGCAAACTAATAACGCAAAGGTGATAATCGACGATTTTGTCCATCTTCTTACATTATAAAAGCAAGCAGAGAATTTACATGAGATCAAAAGCCATTAATTCTGCCAGTGTACCAACTATTGAAAGAGGTGATTCGGCATCAGAAATTGTCAACTACCCATGCAAAAAATCTTTACCTAGTGGGCTGAGGTAATAATGAACACATCCATTATTTCATTTTTCTGTTATAGTTCTGTCTATATAAATTGTCAAAAGCCTCCGTTTGCTAAACCTCCTCAGACAGGAGTCACCTCTTATTAATGTTACTTCAGGTTGACGAAGCATACGCCAGGTGTAATGAAATGAACTGTCCCTCATTTACTTCTCCACTATTTAAAAAGATCTGCAAAGTAATTAAAAGTTAAAATTTACAACCACATTTTGGGACTTTAAACTATCCCCATCATGACTACTAAAATGGTTTACAGGACACCCGTTAGGTCCCGGTAAAAGTGCATGGATGTAGGGTCTGCTATCGACACAGTGGATATGCGCCAGAGGCTTAACAGCTACCTTCTTTATAATAGATATTCAATTTCACAAAGCCAGGTAAGACAGGTAAAAGAGGCAACGCTTAGAAAATCGAAAAGTGGTACCACACAAACTGATGTCAATTATTTGCTCAGCACAGGACTGATCCCCTATCAAACTAATTGATTATGGCGAAAGGTGACACCTTTTTGATTGATATGATAACTCATCCCCATTCAGCAACACCATTTTTTTCACTTGTAACTGCAAAAACTAAGGTCAGCAGGAAAAATTTCTAATAATTTCGGAAATTACCGCAAGTTGTTACTTAAAATAACACCGACAGTTTATTCAAAAGTGGAGTCAAGTTTAACCACTTGTTTCCCCAAACAAGGAAGCACGTAATGATTTGAAGATAAACTTTTCGTCATGAAGGCTACTTACTCAATTAAGCAGGATCCCATTTTTTTGGGCAATATTCATACGTAAGTTGTGGTACGCCGTGATATAGCAAAGATAACAAGCTATGATTATCATACCTATCAAGCGTGTTAGTCGTTGGTTAAGTGAAAAGTCAGCAAAGTACAAGGCTGAACCCAAAAGAAGACCTCCTTGTTTTTATGTAAGAGTAAGCAAAGGGAGGGTCAATGCATCCTGTAACCCTTGTTTGAATCCAGCTGTGAGATGTGCCTAGCATGGTGGTCATATTGCATTCCTGAATCATCTCAGATTACCGCAACTTGGAGGAGCAGCACCGCAATAAAGGTATTCCATCCAGCTTGATGACTACACTTCGGACATCACAAATCGGAAATGGTGGATAATAACTCTCACAAAGTTTGTGTTGCATACTACTTAGAAGGCAAAAAGGAATGCCTGGTTAGTTTATTCCGTCCTACAAAACATAAATGATGATCGTACATACACGCCAAATGCCGGAAGCCAGACGTGTCTGTAGACGAACTGGAAGGTTTCATGTCTGCGCATTTGCTTGACAAATTGCTTTAGTGTACATGCAGAGTGGTAGCGGTAGGAATATTGCTGTAAGGCACTGATTCAATGAGTACTTTCTGAATTTGTGACAAATTTGCATAAGCTAGCACTAACAAGTCAAATATGGACAAAAAATTTGGGGAAAAGTAATCTTGATTAACAATGCTGCATTCTAACAGACTTTTGAAACATTTCAATGCTGGAAAGTACATTTTAAGGGAACCTGCTGTAGAAGTAGACGATGTTTCTTCATGCTAGAGGCTTCAGCAATTCCGGATTTTTATTGGTTCCATGACAACTTCAGTTTCGATAATGGCAGCTCTTCCTTCACTATGACCTTTCATAAACAAATAAACAGGGAGATAAGTGAGTCACATTTTAGGCATTGCAGTTTCAGGCTCATTGAAGTTATCAAATTCGCAATTTACAAATACTACCATTTGGAGAGCAGTGGATCCAATTGTAACTTGTTAATTACTCGTTTAACTCGCAGTTTTTTAAGCAAATGGCTCAGATGTTTGAGATAACTTCAGTTTCAATAGCGGCAGCTCTTCCTTCAGTTTTCACACTTGCTGTATCATACTCTCCGGGCCATATACGGTACCCCACTCCCTCAAAGATTCCGCTCTTCCATCCAAATTTCAAGGCTGTAACATGCAAGGCAAATTAATCATGCACAAAGGTGTAATGTACTCTCCACCCAGAGTGCCGTCAAATTCTCGTTATAACACGCATTCTTCTCCCTCTTTTCCATTAGTCACTGCAGCATTTGTTTTGACTTCACTCTGGTGCTGACCAAATGTCTCAAATCTGCTGCTTTGTTTTGCCTAAACTTTTGAGTTGATTTATCCAAAAGCAACCAATTTGCCACAGTCAAGTCACCGTAGCAAAATAGACTAAGAGGGCATTTACGCAGAGCAGTAACTTTTCCCACCCCAATAGGGATTGCTAAGCTCTAATTTTGCGCCTCTGTGGCCACTTTGGGAGCTTCGTATAGCCAAACCATGTCAGAGTATACTTAGAATCTCTTTTCCATGAGCTCTTATTTCATCGATGCACAAATCCACCTCACAATTCAGTCCTCTATTTGAATTACCAGCCAAGGTTCCCCAACCTGAACCCCAGGGACCTAAAACCATTGGGAATACTGATGGAGCCTCTAATGAGAGAGGGAGAATAATGAGCCAAATGACAACCAGAACAACCATCATAGCTGAACCTTTAAATGAATGTATTTTAAAAATGAATGTATTATCTCCGCACCTCTTATACGTGGAGTGTTATGTCTAAGGGCGGGGGATGATGGAATGTCTCACCATTTCTCTCTCACATAGGCGACATGGGCGGTGCGGTTATCCATTCTTCCAGCTCTTTTGCATGCTTCTTTTAGAGGTGACTCCAAGTCAATATGCCATTCCATTCTTCAGAAATAACTTGGAGCCCAAATTAATTTTATTGTTGGGTTTCAATTGTACCTTATTCTCTGCGTGTCCACTAACTCATCTTTAAGAGAGGATAGTTAGAAATCAACAGATGCAACACTTTGTTAAGTGATGACTCTGATGGAGTCATCAAGTGTATCCACTACAAGCCTTGGTCAATCCGTAATGGAGTAAGTATTTAATGCATCATGTCACAATATTGAGTCATAATGTATTTACACCATTACAGCCCAAATACTTTACAAACTTTACAAATTTTTTAAGATTTTAAATTGTTAACTGAACTCATGCAAATTTTTGTGAGCAGCTAAACCACAACCATCAGCGATTTGTTCACGAGTTTGAAATAAAAATGACACAATACAAGTGAAAATGCAAATAGCACTTATTTCGGGCATGGGCCGGGTGCTTCTCTTCCACCGTAAAATATTTTCCTTCCTTCCACTTTTCATACTATTCTCTAATATGGGACACGCCGCTCAGTTAAAATGATTGCAGCAACTGCCAAAGAATCCCTTGACGCAAACCAAGAGAGGAATACTGGCTCCAAAATAGAAAACAATGAGGCAAACTAGCTCACACACTCTGACAAAGTTGCGGTTTTTTTTCACGCGGCATGCCTTTTTTAATAGAGGTAAAATTTCCTAGGGTTTGCGTGTGCAGACGATGGGAGATTGTTGGATCACGAATGCTTGCCTAGGTGTGTGTGTGTGTGTGTGTGTGTGTGTGTGTATGCAACTGTCCTAGTCAGTTGCGACGATGCAATGGCCCGTGTCCCGCCCACAGCCTCAGTACATTCGAACAGGTAAAATTTCAGTGGTCTCGGTTTAACTTCTCAAAAAATGGAAAAAAAACTTACCGAATCCAAATTATTGCCTTAGCTTGGTGGAAGTAAAGTGACAAGTATATGCCCTAATGTTTACATTTTATCAAAATTGCCTCCTCTGCCCTATATGGTATAGTCCAAAGCAACTTTGCAACGTTCGGCAGGAAGTTAGATCCTTGTACATTTACCGATTACAAAATTGAAATGTCCAAATTTGAAATTGGCGCCTTGATTACTAAATGCCAACGTCCATGTACTGTACGGTTTGAGGACTAGTTAAAAAATATCTTCGCTGTGAGGAATTTAGCTTTTCAAAGAGGGCATCACACTTGATTCAGTAGTTACTGACCTTGCAATGCTGCTCTGCTTGACATATGCAAACCGTCAAGCGAGGTTGTTTTAAACAAATAGGTAAATTTTCAATTTAAGGCGTACTTTTTGTCGAAAATCTTATTTTTACCACTTTCACAACCATTAGGTTATTTTTCTCCCACTTTATAAATGCAAAGTGCGCTCACTGCTGACACGTGACAGGTGTTATTTGGTTTCTCTGACAGGTTTGACACAGATGAGTTATAAGGTAAAGGTATCGCTTTACCTAACCAACAGTCAATTTGGAGATGCAGACGTAACTCTATCTACAAGTTCTCTAAAATTTCACTCAAAACTATCTCGCGATGGCGAACCGTCAAAAGTAGAGCTGCACAGTAGGTGATTTTAAATATTATATTAATATTTTGCAAACGAGTTTGCTTATCTCTTTCAATTAACTAATGATAACGTGCTTAATGGTCAAACCATTCATTTTATTCAAGGTAGGGAATTCGAGGTTTTCTTGCTTGCACAGCTAAAAACGTTAAATTGCTGAAAATGTCTTTTACTGTAATATTCAGAAATGCAATACCTTTAATTAATTTTTTATCTGTGGTGGAAGTACCTCCTCTTTCGGACCACCAAAATAAGTTCGGGATCACAATTGTACCAGTGATAAATGAGGAATAAGGGGTATTATCTTGAGAGCGCATAAGACAAGCACGTCATTACTGTTTGACTAGTGATTGAACAACTTCCATATTTAGATTTAAAAAGGGCTGAGAATGGACTTGTTACCCACTTTTGTTATCCCTTCTGCATTACGTGCAAGGCAGGTAAAGGCCGTCGGATCTGGAAACAACTGCCACGTATATCTGGCTTGGACAATTACCCCATTTGCCCCAATTCCTCGCTACTTTGTTTATGATGAAAGTCATTTGGCCGGGAAATTGCCTCGTCAGCAATACGCAAGTCCTTGCGCGTCTAATCAGTCGGCAATTATTACAACAAAGTCCATCCGTGCAATGGTACACCCGCAGTCAGATTTGATGACGAATTTTGCAAGCTCTCCATGAATCTTCAGTGAGCCACGGAAAGGGGGAGCAGATGTAATCTTATAAGAAGAATAAAGTACTTTAAAGGGTCTCACTTCACAGTGATTGTACCACTTAAGTCTATGTTCACGGAGTTTTTAGGGAAGAGAGTAGACATTGACATCTAGAGGACCCTGTTGTCCACCAAGAGAGGAAACTGGTGCATTATGATTGTAATAAATTACTTTTTGATCGAATCTGAGATAGAACTCATGCAGACACAAAACACTGGAACAGTTGTCACACCTTTCCTTAATTGCTAAAATTCTCAAAACGAAGTGGCTGAAACGGGGTGCAGTGTACAAAAAGTTTATTTTCAAAGCCAACTTTTACCGAAATGTGCAAGAATTTTGCAATTTGTAAGGCACACATGACATCTGAACATCCACAAGGTGAAGAATAGATGGAACAAAAGAATCGCATTTAGATTGGAATACTGAAGGCAATTAAGAGGAATGCCCAACGGTATGATTGGGATTTACGTCTTGGACGGCGCCTACTTGCTCGCCGAACGAGCTACAATGTATACATTAAATGGTTGTGTGATGAGAGTACCAAGCGAAATGTCTTAACAAACCCAGAATTTGCATCCCACAACATCTCAGACTACGTAATGCAACTGAGTGAAGAGATGCGAAAATATTCAAAGCCTTGCGAGACTACTTGCTACAGTCACACATCAGGCAGGAAAGATATTGCGGGAAGACGCAATCAAACTGAGTTCCGCCTAGCCTGTTCCACTGCGTAGAATGCATTGCATGCTTTGGCACCCCTAGAGCAAAAAAATGAAGTCTTATTGATGGTAGTCGTCTCAACAACAAAGCACCTAGTCTGCAAGGCATGACTCTGTAATCTATCAATTACGATTAATTAGAACGGTTTAAAGTAAACGTTGCCACAGAAATACTACGCTGCTAACATTTTTACAATTTTGAAATGCAGCACACTTTTCTTACTGGGATATCAAAATTAAAATTAATGGGTTTGTCTTTGCCCTTACCTAAGACTATACTTATTTTCCAGTAATCGAGCTGTCAATGAAGTACATTTCCAAGCTGCGGTAAGGAAATGACGCTAGTTTTATTTCACCCTAACACCTTCTTTAAGGAGTTATATGGTATAGCCCAAGCGGTCTGTTTATTACTTAGAACAATCGTTTTAATAAAACCAGCTTAAGCCCGATTTTCTTCAAATAATCTTAGTCAAACTGGCTCTACAAAGCCTAATTTCGGATCAAAAGTTAAACAAAATCTTAGAAGAGCATAAGCGACTTTAGGATGAAAAGGATTTACACTTGTTTTGCAATATGTGTTCAAATACTACTTTCCTCTTCAAAACCCAGTTGCATTTTAACATCATTATTTGAGTTATTGCAGGGTGACTCGGCGAAACAAAGTCAGTCAAATGACTATCTGTATAAATAAAATTTTGCTCCTTGTTTAGGCTCTTTCATGCATCTCTGTCGTGTTACTTGAAGCTCATTATAGCAACTGGTATCTGAAGTCGCCTTTTTTCATCCATCAGACCTACTTTTCGTTAGCAAATCATTTTGTTCCCTCCCGTATTTAAGCCTTGAACCAGAACGATTTTCCACCGTTGGGCATTAGAACCAACCTTTATCATTTTCTATCAAATTTAGGCAGAGTATTTCAAAAAAGGGCAGCGAGCACACAAGCAAGGCGCATTGTATGCCTAACGTCTGCAGCTTTCAAGGTGCCAGCGTACACGACCGGGCTAATAAATGGTGTACACTACATTGCACGATTTGTGATTTTGATGTAGCAAATGCCTTGAAGGTGTCCTCTGGCCTTGTCTATCTCAGAGCCTTCGGCCTACTGTGGTTTATCTCAAAACGGTGAATGAATTTTGAAATTTGGGACGCGAGACGTTTCAGGTACTTAGGCAGGTGTGGTAATTCAGGAAAGAAACATTTATGGGAAAGAAGTTAAACGTTCACTGTTTTATCTTTTGTCTTTTCACCGTCGAAGAAGACAAAGATAAAAGTCGAGGATCCCATTTTTGAAGAATTTGAAATGCACTCTAAATGTGCACAAAAGT